GAAGAATCAAATGTAAAAGTGTACAGTTCTCTCTGCTCTTTCTGTCAGCACCCCAAAATCCATCCTTTTACATGCAGACATATGGTTAGGTGAGAATAATTTCATCCCAGTTTCCCGCATGCATGATTTTGATAATGATGAATTGCTGGGCCTGGTTCTATGACTTGTAAAGCCTCAAACCACAGAAGCAGGAGACATCATGGCATTCAGTTAGTTTTCCGGGTGCCTTTATAGCACCAGTCAAAAGTTACTGATTCTGTTTTGTTCTTTTCCTCCCTGCTGGGAAGCAAGGCAAGATCAGACCCAGCCTATGGGTGTACAGAGATGTTTTTCCAGAAACTTTCTGAGATCTGTGCATAGAAATGCCCATAAATATTACTTTCTACCACAAGAAATTACATGACATCACAGACTGAAAACATGATTGGGAAGCAGTGGGTGAGTTGGCAGTGCTGGAAGAGGAGAGCACTGCACAGTGGACAGTGGTTCTTCTGAAACTCACATGCCTGTGTGTCCATCATAACTGTGCACACTTGCCCACAACACAGAAAAACTACATAGCTTGGCTGATGTCCTCCCAATGGAAAACTCAGAGACAACTCATCTTTTTTCCTTTTCTAAGCTGAGTCTCTCAGAAGTCTTTTCTCTTGTATGTTGAAGAGAATCTTAGAAAAATGGAAAAGCTTAGATCTCTTGTATGCTGAATAGAATCTTAGAAAAATGGAAAAGCTTAGTACCTTTGTATCACCTTTTATTCCAACTGTACATATCTAGCAAGGCTTTCTTATTGATTCTCTACTATTAGCACAGATCTGTAGTGATTGATCAGTCAGCCTTGTTTGTTTAATTGGATTAGGAAATTCTGTAATGAAAGTCACCCATTATATATTGTGTGTTATTTTCAAAATGCAAAAATAATACAGTTAGTGAAGCCATTATTGTTTTTTCCAATAAAAATACTTGTAATACATTGCTGTCACTTAGTCTTCTGATTGAATATGTTGATTAGTTGAGCTGTATAGTGTTTAATTCCAGTTCATGAGGTTGTCTGTGTATATAAATACATTGCTAGATTGAATCACAGGTTTCTAATGGTTTAATTACCCTTTTTTAATCCAGAAAATGCCATTTTCAGTGCTTATTTTAAAGTAATAAACTACAGTTCAGCAGAAAACTTCTTTATGAGTGAAACAGTAGGCATGCCAGACAACTGAATATGTTTACTTGGTGGTTTGCAGGATTCTGTGTTTCCTTACCCTTACATCATAACTGTGCTTGTGAACACACAGAAAGTTCCATGTTTGACTAGTGAATTCTTTTCAGGGATTTTTTTGCTTCAAAATAGATTTGGAAAGTTTACACACATGCGCACACACACACACACACATATATATATAGCACATGAGTAAGAGTTCAGATTGTTTTGTTTTTCTTTAAAATAGCATAAAGATTACATTTGCATAAAGATCAGTCATGGAGAAGAGCATTTTTTTTCTTTTACTCATAATGGGTGACTACTGAAATGTTCTGCAGAGGAAGAATGTCTGGTTTGGGAAGTGTTTTGAATGCTGAAAAGTTGACTGCTTTCAAAACCAGTTCTGATTATTAATGTAGCACAAGAAACTTTTTGACATAAATAGTCAGATTATTAAAGAAAACAAAACCAAGTATCCTTTTTATTTCCCCTGTGCAGTTCTAAGTGATCTGGATGACCAGCTGGCCCAGGAGCAAGCCAAAGATCCATCGGACAGGACAGTTTCTACTAGCAGTGCATCAAATGTCCAATGCAGTAGTGCATTCCCTACTGCAAAGAGGCAGACTGCTAGTAGGGGGCAACAGAGAAATGACTGGAGTGACATGCGTCGCACATTTTTCCCAGATGGACTGAGAACACTAAGAGCCAAAGAGGAGCACAAGGTTTTCATCAGACCAAGGAAATTACACAGTGCATATATAAACTGGCACCAGACAGCCTTTCAAGAAGGTTGCAGTTATGGTGATCCAGTCGATGGAAACCCTCGGCTGCGCAGCAGAAGGATGTCTTCCGCTTCTTTTGGACGGTCTTCAGAAGGGAGCCTGTATCCTCCTTCCATAACACACAACAGTGGATTTAGGCACAAGAGTTGTATGAACAGGGATACAGCTGGCAGAAGTTACTCTGTATGTTCCCTTCGGAGGTGTCCATCATTGGTATCTTCTGACCAGCTATCGGGTTCTAGTTTACAACATCCATTGGCAAGAGAGAGCAAGAATGGTTTTGTACCAAGATTTGGCCGACAGAACCCAAAGAGAATTCCTCTGTCTTCTATTGTATGGAACAACACACCAGAGTCTCCTGGACAAACATCAACTCCAGAAAAAGTGTTTAGAACCAAATCACTGATGGAGTTTCATGCTACAGACCATGCTAGATATCCCAACTCTTTGCAAGAAACCAAGAAATACACATATTACCACTCAAAACACCACTACAGAAGATCTATTTCAAGCAGCAGTTGTTTTAGTAGAGTTAGTAGCCCTGACAAAGCTACTTCTCCATTGCCCTTTGATAACTGGGAAAATTATCCATTATACAAATCAGAAAATAATCTCTCTAGATCCTATTATAGAGATACCTCTTCTCATGACAAGTTGTATGCAAACCAAAAAAATTATTCTTATGGAAGAAAAAACAGCTGTCCTTCTTGGGCTGATATCCCTCAGTGTTACAGTGATGAAACATTTATTTCCCCTGATGCCAGCTTTGAAGCAATTATGGCTAATTTAAATGACCAGCAGTGGGCACATACAAAGAATGCCAAGTTAGGTTCACAGCACCCGCAGAATGATTTTCATGTGTGTTCTCCAGAAAACACAAGTATCAAAAGGATAACAAGAAGTGCAAACAGAACTTTTTCAGAAAACACCGAGGGCTGTCAGCCTTGGCTAAGTAGTAACTCTTCGGTTTCTTCATCTAGTATCAGAACTGATGAGTCAGTCTTTCCTAATTCAAAGGACCAAACGAAACCTACAAGACTGAACAGGATTTCGGTCGTTGTTACCCAAAGAAGTACTAAGGCAGGCTTTACACAAGTAGAAAAGGCTGAAGGTATGAAACAGTCAGATGAAGACATGCTGTTACAGTCAGTTCCTCAACAAGCAGACACAAGCTACATCAATACCTCTACCAGCCCTGCTTCTGCCATGTGGCAAAGAGATGTATCTCTCTTTAGCACAGTGACATCAAAGAGACAAGCCCAAGCCACTGCCAGAGGAGATACTGCAAAGATGTATACATCAATTGGTGATAAAAGAAATGTACAAATGAAGGAAAATGATTGCACACCCAACAGTGCATTCAGTCAGCCTCCTTGTATTTTTTCAGATGATGAGAGCAGGAAGGAACCTTTCCTTCCAGGTCAGAAACAATGGGAACACAATCTGCATTATGTAGCACAAAGAGAGAGCATTGAACAGGATAATCAGAGTTCAGAAGCCATTAACCAAGTTACTCCAAAAAGACAGTCCTTGCTGCTGAATGTTTCTTCTGCTCCATCCACTGAAGAATTAGCAAATTGTCAAGGCATGTGGTCCTGTCCTCCTGAATGTTCATCTAGCTCCTCACGAAGCTCTCCACAAGCACTTTCTCATAAAGACAATTCTAAATGCTTAGGAACACTAACTAGCACAGTTTCTGAAGCAGAAGGTGGAGAAACAGCTCAAGTGAGCAGAATAGATGTTACCAAACAGATTTCACAGAAAACACTGCAAAATGCAAGCACTTTAGTTACTAAGGACTGTAATGGACAAATCTCTACTAGCTCTCCACAAAATGGAAATTCTGGAAGTATTTATATGTGTAGCTTTGATGGAGACCCCAAGATGTCTGAAAACAGTTTAAGTTATTTTTGCCTTGAAAAAGGAAGTGAAAAAATAGGGAGTAATTTGCCTTATATTGAAAGGCTTCACAAGCAAGACAGCTTGCTGAGACATACCAGTAGCTGCAGCCTTACTGGCTCCCCTAGTAGAAACAGCTCCAAATCTCCTGACCCCCTTGTTATTTATTACACTTTGCCTAGAAAATCAGCCAGCATTGCTGGTAGTATTATGTCAGATATGCCCATCTCTTTGCCTAGAGAAAGCAGAACAACATATGAGTGTTTAAGGTCTGAAACTCCACATAGAGCCAATGCCTTTTGTTTTAATCAAAGAGATGTGTCTTGTTTAGACTCAAAATGTTCCTTTCTAACATCAGCATCATTAAATGCTGGTACAAGTAGCAAAGGAAAAGATTACCCCAGCCCTTTAACCAAAAGTCTTAGTGATTCAGTAAGTAGTAGTACATCAGTTGATCAGACAGATGGATGGAAATGTCTAAGCAGAAGAGAATCCTCTGTGTTTTCAGATTGTAAGGAGGGGGGAAATTTTCTACAGAAATATAAAACCACAAGCACATTTACAGTTTGTGTTGATGAAGATCATGTCAAGTATCATGAACTAGTTTCAATTTATTACACACTACCAAGGAGGCATTCAAAAACATTTTGTAGCCTCTTTAGAGATAATCCAGAGGATGCAGATTCACCTTGTCCCAAAGAAAATGCTCCGTCACCAAGAATACAAAGCAAGAAAAATGAAGGTCATGTGAGTTTATCAAATGTTTTTTTCCCCATTACTTCAGAAAAAGAGGTGCCTTCATATTCTTCTGAACAAGTATCTTCAGCTTTGGTCACACCTCAGAACTTAGGAACTGCTGTTGATAGTGAAGAGAAGTTCCATTTACGCCCTAGCTCTGAGAAGTCAGTGAGTATGGTACATACCAGGAAAGATAATTCGGCAGATCTTTCATTAGCAGAAAATGTGCTTTCTGACATGGTGACAAAAGAAATTTCTTTTGGTGGTCCACAATTCACTGCAATAGTGGGTAAGTCAGGTAAGGCCATTTCTGATGCCTCAAGCAGCCAAAATGCAGAAATATGCCTGAAAGAAAAGAAGGAGGTTTTACAAAGAGCCACACCACTAACTTCCACGTTATCGACCCCTCCCAAACCAGGCAGACGTTTAGAGAATCCCTTGTACTCTACTTCAACAAATGAAAATATTATACAGAAGGGAAACTCTGAAAGCTGCTGTCAGGCCCCTAAAGTGAACACCAGTAAAAATCTGAACACTTTACACCTCCGCTCAGGAGGGAAGCGTTCCCTTGGAAGGAGTGGTAACACAGAGCATGCTGATGTGCCACTTCCTCCTATGGAAGGCATGTACAGGGATAGTACTGAAGTCAAACAGAGAGTAAATTTCCTACACCAAACCACCCCTCTCTATAATAATAAGTGCAGTGGACTGCAATTAAGGGCTGACAGTTCAAGAAAAAATGCAAATTATTTGAACTCCTGTGGCAGAGTGCTTTCAGAGTCCCAGCGCAAAGCATCTGAGGTAATCACAGCTTCCAGTGCTGATCCATTACTTCAGCTAGACAAAGTGGTTAACACAGATGCAGAGGAAGTAAACAATTCAAAAATTAAAAAAGAGCAAAACTCACAGAGTGCTCAGATGGGTAAAGTTTATAGGGGTTTGCGGGAATCAGAGAGGCACAGTGAAGGCAGCCTGAACATTAAAGATAAAGTCCTCAGGGTTACAGAAGGTCAGAAGATAACACAGAGTACAGAAGATGAGAACAAGCTTCCCTCTGACTGCACAAGAGACAAAGTCAAAGATATAGAAAAAAGGAAAAACAGACCTTCAATTAAAAATAAACTGGCAGCCGTTTACAAAACAAGTCGAAAGTTTTCGAGTAAAAATTTACCCCCCAAACCGCACATAAGCAACATTTTTTCACAGAATGATGGAAGTGCTGCTTCTTTTGAGGTCAACATGTCCCTTGACTCATTGATTTCAACAGATTCTCATCAGCCATTCCTGCAGTTGGACAATGAAAATCAGAATCACAGTCTGGACCCTGATAAGAAAGCACCAAGACCAAGAACAGCTGAGAATATGAAGACTGAAAATCAGAACAATCCTTCTTTGCTGGTTAATAACGCCAATCGGTGGTCTTTTGGAAGCTCATACACCCAGAAGGAAGCCATCGGTCCCAAAAAAACTACCGTGAAAGTGGAAAACAAGCCAAGACTCACAACTCCATTTCCAGATAAAGCAGTAACCACAAGCAATAAGAATTCTCAAACACTCAATCTCAGGTTAGAAAGCAAAAGCCAACCCCTCTCTCCCAGTGCTACTACATCAGACTCACTGGATGAGAAAAGAAGAGCTAGCAGTCATGCCTGCACTCCTCCCTTGCCACTTTTAACTGACAAAAACTCAAACACGTACGTAAATAGCTGTTTGCAGGCAGACACATGTCCAGAACAAAACCTGACTACCCAGACAGTGCTTGGTCAGTGTCAAAATACCTCTCAGTCTGCGAGCTTAAAAAATGCTAACCTCAATAGCTATCAGTTGCGCAAGAGTCATGCGAAAAGTCAGCGCGAGCGTCACCTTTCTGAGGGTATCTGTGCTCGAGATTCCCTTGAGACCTCTGCCTCGGGAAGCAATATGCTCCCAAGAGACAGTATACATGGGAAGAGATTTAAATCTTACTCAGAGCTGTTGTCTTGTGATGAAAATCAAAACTGGGCATCAGACGATGAAAAATGCTACAGCACTAGAAATTTGATGTATCCTTCTGTTGAATTTGGTATATTTGGCAAAGAACAACAATTGGCTTTCCTGGAAAATATCAAGAGGTCACTCACAGAAGGACGATTATGGAGACCTTGTCTTCTTAATAACCCTAGTGCTTTCAGAGATGGAGAGACCTCTTCCATTAACCGGGCTGAGCTTTTGAGCTCGAGTTCTGCTGGGAGCAAAATGTCATCGACTGCTTCATCCCCCCGAGAGTTGCCTGATATCTATGGGGAAGACCCAGCGGCTTATTCGGACTCAGACAGTGATACCACCACTGATGATGAATACTACCTTGATGAGGCAGATAAAGAATCAGAGCTATGAAGGAACTGTGGTACTAAGATGGCACGATAGCGCGGTAGTTTCTGGGCAGGCAAAAACATGTCAGATGCTTTGAGCCAGTTCTTGTGCTGCTATAAATTGCTACAACTTCATTAGTTTCAAAGGAGTTAGTATGTTACATTAGCTGAGCATTTGACTTCTGTATTGAATGTGTGGATTCACCATTGTTGTTTCTCCTATCAGGGAAAAACAGTGTTAAAAAATCCCTTCCCAAAACACTAGAATGTAAACAGCTGTGGAGCTTTGGGCAGTGTAACTCCGAAGATGGCTTTCCTCTGAGTCAGCAAGCAGTGGTTAGTCTCCTGCTAGCTATGCAGTGCTGGAGTGGATAAATTCTAGCTTCAGCTACTTTTTCTTACAAAACTTACCAGAAAGCCAAGAAGTTACGTTGCTGATAAATTGCTTTTTCTTCAGTTTTCCTCATTTACCAGATCAAGCATGCCAATGCTAATCCATCCCACCAAACAAACACCCTCACAAAATGAAACCTATTAAATTTTTACAGCGTATTCTGTATGAATGTTCTTTTTCTGCATTCCTGGGAAGTGCAGCAAGCAATGTCCCCAGTGGCATTTGCTCTGCTGTGCAGTTGAGGCAGATTCCATACCGAGACTTTTGTCTACAGCGATACAAGAGCAGTGAGCAATGTGAGTTGCAGAACTGGCCGTTAAATTTCTAACTAAGCTTTGATCTATTCTTGTGAAAAATCAGAAGTGGCTCACTGAGCCAGAAGATAGTATTTTTAAATAATTATACCTTCTACTTTATCTCTAATTTCACATGTGGTCTAAAAGGATGATCCATATTTTTATACACTTTTTAATTCAATAAAATTTCTGTCGGACAGACATAATTATATTTTTGTAACTGGAAGGACAGTATACTGGTATTTTAAAATAATATATTTTACAGAAAACGAGCCATGCTTGTATCACTGAATACTCCACAAGAAGCTAAAAGATGAAAATATTATCGCAAGAAACAGGTATCTTTATTTTTTATATTGTAAACTTCGTTAAAGAAGTGGGTCTGTAGTTCAAATCTGTACTGATATATAAGTATTATTACTCTATGCTGGGGTAGTTTGTCTTTTGTTGTACATAGAAGGACAATAATATAAACGATGTATTTATAGACAGAATTGATCTCTACGACATGCCTGTTCTGGAAGGATATAAGAGTATGCTGACACAGGCAATGCTGGAAGGAAATGGCTACTGTATAGTCACTGTCTTGTAAAGTGTGGTATTCTAAAGAGAAATTATGTTTTTCTGTAAATGGCCCTATTGAATATGTACAGGATTCTGTAGAGTAAGGCAATAAAACCAGCTGAATATCCGTGCAGAATTTCTGCTGCTGTACATTTTGCAAAATGCATTAATCCAAAAATTTGGAATAGCAGCCTACATAAGGTATAGGGTAATAAAAGAAACATTTACAAGGGAAGTAAGTGGTCATACAGTTTTTCTTGACTATAGGTGGATGGTTTAGAACTTTTTTATTTGTAAATATTTTCTACCTGTTCAGCAAAATTGGATTAAGTTCTCACCTTGTCGGCATAATTTTTTTTCATTTGCTATGCTGTGGATGTACAGGAAATCAGTTGGTTTGATTTAATGTAAGCAAGGAAAACTGCTTTTGGTTGGTCATCAGTTATGGAAGACTGTAGCCTGTTGAGGATCTGCAAACTAGAATTGACACTGAATAACAGTATTGTGTTTTAACAGTCAAGTGCATTAAAACCATAGGTAGAAATAACTTTGAATAGCAGTCAGTTCCATTCAGTTTTGCAGAGCCAGATTTTGACACCTTCACTCTTCCAAGCTTTTTCTTTGGCAAAAATATATTCTATAAATATTCATAATTTATAGGATTTTTGTATTTAAAATTACTTGTTTTAAATAAATTCTGCATTCAAATGAAAAATAATATTGGTACTGTATTAATTTTTCACTTACTGTGAATGCCATATACTATTAAAATAAAAAAACAAACAGGATCTTAGTATGGTTGTCAAGGTGCTGATGGCCAGCATTCCATGGATTTTGAAAGGGGCAGGCAGCCTTGGTCCATCTCACAGCTGTAGCCAGCGGTCACATCAGCTGCCTCCTGCACAGGAAGGATGTGCCAGCTTCTCCTGTCCCACCAGCTGATGAGTCTCCAGCACACAAATAGTTTTCCATCAGCTGTAGAATCTTTACAGTAGACATATTAAGCCCTTAGCAAGCCATACGCCTACAGCTTGCCTTGAGGAGCCAATACTCTATGTAGGGGCCAAGGGTAGTATTTGGTGAGTAGTTTTACAAGGTGATGAGCTCCACGTGAAACTCCCTTGAGGTGTAATCAGGCCTGAGTGAAACCTGGCTGCCACGTGCCGTGTGATGGTATATGAGACTCACCACGGCTTTTCAACCTTAATTACTACAGCCAGTATGTGTGGTACCTGAGCTGAGTGACACAGTCCCTCATCCTGGCTTCAGTAGGAAACATGGTTTATGAGCTAAGGTGGTGTTCCTGTCTAGATCTCTGTCCACCCATTAGGTCTTGCATGTCCCCAGACAACCTTTGGGCTTCCTATCATCTTGAATACATTTGAAAGAAAAGATAAAAATCTGATGGTTTCATCAAAGGGTAACTCAGGCTAGGAGTGACCTCAGGTCTCTGCAGAGCAGGTTGGCTCCTAGGTAAGAGCTGGCTGCTCAAGGCTTCATCCAGTTGAGGCTTGAAAATCTCTTATGAATGGAGACTGGACAGCTTCTCTGGGCAACCTGTGCCTCTGCCTGACTGTCCTCATGGGACATACATGGTACCGACTGAGCCTCTCTTCTTTCAATGCATGCCAGTTGTCTCTCATCCTCCTGCCCTGCACCATCTCATGCTCTCCCTGAGGGCACTGGGGGCTTCTGTAAGGTCTATCCCCTCATTGAAGGTATCTCTTAACAGGCTTAACAAGTCCAGCTTCCTCAGCCTCTCCTCAGAGCAGGTCCTCCAGCCCCACCATCTCAGTGGCCTCCCATGAATTTGATCCAGTTTATTGATGTCTTGTACTGGGGAACCCAAAGCTGGGTGCAGGATCTAGATGTGGTCTCATGAGTACTGAGTGGAGGGGGATAATGACTCCCCTTGACTTCTGGCTCTGCCCCACTTCATACAGCCCAGGCTGCTGTTGGTCATTGTTGCTGCCAAGACTCACTGACGGCCCATGTCACTCTCACTTCCCACAAGGGCCATTCCCTCAGAGCTGCTCCCAGCAGCTGGTCCCAGCCCATACCAGCACAGGGGTGGCTCATTCCTAGGGACAGAGGCCCAAGACCACCAACAGGCCCTGACCCTGCCACCTCCTCAGGGCTCTCCTCCCTGCCTTGCTCATGGCTCAGGGCACTATTTGAGCCCAGCCTGGAACCATCAGTCCTTGCCCCACTGATGCTGTAGGTTGTTGATCTCCATCTCACCCACAGCCTGATCTGACCAGCCATGGGCCCTGCCAAGCCTGGCCACACCTGCAGGCTGACATTCCCAGGACCAAACAGCTATCCCAAAGTTGTGTCTGACCCCAGTTCCCCTCACAGAGACATCCTGATCTGCAGATTGATGTGCCTGCCTGACCTCAGCCCTGCCCTGTCCTCACAGCCTGCTGGCTGATGTGGCCTTTTGGCTGCCTCAGATGCTGTTTGCTGCAGATGCAGAGGAGACCCTGGTGGCCCTGCTGCCAGCCATGCTGCTATGCTCCTCAAACCTATTCCCTGGTGAGCAGCCCGCTCTCGGTGCCCTGTGGCACCCAAGTGCAGGACTTCTGTTGAATTTCATGAACCATTCCTACACCCTGTCCAGGTCCCTCAGGATGGCAGTCCTGCACTCAAGCACACAGACTAGTCCACCTGTTTGGTATCATCTGCAAACCCAGTGATGGAGCCCTCCATCACTTCATCCCAGGACAGGCTCCTGCGGTGCTCCCATTGCTACCAGCTGCTGAGTAGAGACAACTATTAACCAGTCTCCTCAAAGCTCAAACAACCATTCTGGGTGGGTTTTTACCCACCTGTTTGTTCCCCATCCAGACTATAACATCCTAAAATGGATACAAAAGCATTGTGGGAGACAGTAATGTCTGCTAAATTCAAGGTAAATGACATTCCCTGCTCTCCCCTCATAGAATCACAGAATGTTTTGGGTTGGAAGCAACCTTCAAGTTCCAACTCCCATGCAATGGGCAAGGAGACCTTTCACTGCACCAGGTTGCTTAAAGGCCCATCCAACCTGGCTTTGAACACTTTCAGGGATGGACATCCACAACTTCTCTGGGCAACCTGTGCCAGTGCCTCACCTCCCTCACAGTGAAGAATTTATTCATGATATCTAATCCAAACTTACTCTTTGTCAGTTTGAAGCCATTCCCCCTTGTCCTGTCACTATATATCCTTGTCAAAAGTCCCTCTACAGCCTTCCTGCAGGTCCCCTTTAGGTACTGGAAGACTGCTATAAGGTCTTCCTGGAGTTTTCTCCAGGCTAAAGAACCCCAACTCTCTCCTAGTCTGTCTTCATAGGAGAGATGCTCCAGACCTCTGAATATCTTCATGGCTTTGTCTGAACTTGCTTTAACAGGTCCATGTCTTTCCTGTGCTGAGGATCCCATAGCTGTATGCAGCACCCCAGGTGGGGTCTCATGGGGGGAAAGTAGATGGGCAGAATCACCTCCCTTGACCTGCTGGCCATGCTACTTTTGATGCAGCCCAGCCAAGTATATGGTTGCACATTGTTGGCTCATGTCCAGCTTTTCATCCATCAGCACTCCAAGTCCTTCTCCGCAGGGTTGCTCTCAGTCCATTCCCCACCCTTCATCAAGCCATTCATCTTACAGCAGAGTGTCAGGCTAATGCTTTGACTCGATGATCTTAGAGGTCTTCTCCAATCTTGATGATTCTATGATTTTATGATCTGCAAAACCAGTTTACTGACAAAGGCAATTGGGTCAGCCCTTGGTC